CGTTACCCATAGACTGAGAAACACTGTACAGATAATATATACAGATAGATAATATTTTAAATAAGTTTTAAGTATCACAGAACATCAAAATGATCATTTATGATAATTGTGCCAGAAATTTGAAAAACCAATTTTGATTCTGTTGATCTTTATAATCAATAACGATTTATATAGAAAACTTTCATATAGATGAGGAAGTTTCATCATTCACTTCTACTAAATCACTAGGTCCGATTCCCATTCTGTATTCTCAAAAGAAATGGTTAACCAAATCTTTTGAATATTTATCGATTGAAGAAAGTTGATAAGATTGAGAAAAAAAACATTTTTTTAGTTTAAAACATGAATCCCGATGAATGAGTTAGTATTATAAAAATCAGCTAACCGTGAAATTGCAGGTTGGAAACACTAAATATAACATCATGACGTACTAATCTTAATTTAAGTAAGTGCAACTAATTTGACTAATTATAAATTATATAATACTTAGCAAGTTACATGTCATATAGTGGAAAATCAGAAGGAATTATTTACAACAATATAACAAAGTATCCTTCAATGGCCTATTTCGTGTGCGCCTGTTCGAATCCTGGTCAAGCCAGGCCCTTTGTGAGCCATCTCGGTCTTGCAGCAATAGGGACCATCGTTCATCACAGATGGACAGTCAAATGAATGGACATTCAGCCAATTGGATGGACAATGACAGTGGATAGCAATGTTAAGAATAGCAGAAGATTCACAGTGAAAGGAAATAGTGGAATTGCAGAGCATCAATCATATCTACTGAAGTTAACCTACAAGACGACAGCTCAACCAACAAATTAAAAAATCAAATCATCATAATGGTAACTATCCACCGGGAAAGATTATCCATTTAATGTCAACATATATATCACATTTAAAATGAACATAATAAATGTGAATATACGACATAAAAAAAAAATTAAATATTTCCACGAATTTTACTTTTTTTTACAATAAATATATATAATAATTGTATAAACTGAATGTTTGTATTTTACTAAATGGGTTTTATTAATTTATTATATTCATTTAACTAAAGTGTTTGAAATTAATAATTTAAATAGTGGAAACAGTATTTTCGTTCCAATTATTATTGAAATAAAGCATTTTAATACAAATTTTCTAGTTTATCAATTATATCTAACAGTTTTTTTTTCATTAATGTCGCAGCTGTTTGAATGATAAATGTGTTAAACTCGTTGTTTTTAATTGCATATTCGTTTATTTAAATTTTTGTATTAATAATTAATTATTTGATAAAAAAACAACTAAATAAATGTTTTCTTTTTTAAATATTAATTTTATTTTAATTCCATTTGTAAATGAATGAATGATGAATATAATTGGAAAGACTTTATGTGTTGAAATTGGAAATAGATATGATTTATTAAATGAGACAAATATCCTTCCGTCCACTATAAAGTTTTCTTCCTTGAGGTTCACAAGTGATAAAGTTTGCGACCTTGAAATTTTATTGAAATTTTAATTATACATATAATACATCATATTTTTCTATATATTATCCCAATTGATTAAAGCCGCACTATGCGAGGTATTGCTGTATTCATAAATAATTTAAAAGAAAGCTTCAAGGACGATTCATATATTAAGACAAAAAATTGATCTGTCAGTATAGTATAAAAATAGTCTTATATTTTTTCTATATAATACAAAAAATAGGTATATAAACTACAAACGTTAATTATACAGGGTGGTCCAATTAAACTGCAACCAACTTAAAACTGCTATAACTTTTGAACTGTTGTTTTGTCCATATTTCGCATAATGATAGCTGATTTTATTGTTTACAAGCCTGCGGAAGCATTTACATCTTAGTTTTTTGGAAAAAAAAGTTATCAATGATGGAATTCAAACGCTATATTGAGCGGAAAACCAAAAGTGTCTATTGTTAGAGCCCTCGATCACCTTAATGTGAATAAAACTTTCGTGTCTCGAACCATGTTATAACGAATATGTTATAACGAATCTAGTAGTGTTACAAAATGCTATATTGGTGGTCAGAAAAATACTAAATCTCTGGTAGAAGTGGTTAAGGCTCGAATTGAATGAAATCCGCGACGCAGTCGAAGACAAACGGCTACTGGGCTAAAATTATCGAAAATAACCATGCAACAATTACTCAAAATCGAACTCAAAGTGAAGCCTTGCCAGTTCCAAAAAGGAGAAGATCTCACCGATGTGAGACTAAAAAACTAGGCTCGATAGAGCGAAGGAGCTGTTGCGCTTGCACGAACACAGCCAATTGCAAAATATCATCTTGTCTAATGAGAAAAATTTCCTAATTGAGAAATTCGTAAACAAACAAAATATTCGAATTTACTTAGAAGAAAGATCAAACGAAAATTTGAATATAATTGAAAAAAATTAATTGTTTTCCAACATTTTATTGTTTTTGGTTCAATAAAATCCAAAATCAAATAAAAAAAAATACAGCAGTTCAATTGGGACATCCTGTACAATAAAAAAAAAGTAAAGCTTGAACGTCTTTTATTTGAGTGCAATTTTTCGTTAATATTGTGTCGCTCTGCGAGGATACACATCTGCATGTATTTGTACATAAATTGTGAATGTGAGCAAAGGAAGATCTCTGAACGAATTAAAAGATAGCATACGTAACAAACACATGGATATGTTTGTCGGTCGGTCGACCGAAACAAAAAAAAAGTGGAATAAAACGATGAAATCGCGCTCCGTAATATCGCTCATACAAATTGCCTTTAGCCGCAAACCATTTATTTTTTCGCACCAAATTCCAATGATATTCGTCGGGGGGTGGCGCGGCGACGACCAATTACGAAATAATGGGGACACATTTATAAGTAAATGAAAATAGAAATGGAAACGTATCTGCCGTTCTGTAATGTTTTTTGCAACTGCAAACAAAACGGCAGAAACGAGAATAAAAACCTCACCGATTGGTGTGCAGTGGTCACAATGATGGTCCCAATGATAATTAGAAAATGGCAAAACGTCGGGTGCATTGAAATGAAAATGGGAGGCGGTTGGTCGGCTGTGCAACGGGATGCCAGGGGGGTTGGCAGAATCGGGGTGATCGGAGGAAGAGGATGAGCCGAGGCCCAATTCCAATTTCGATATGCAAATATTGAATTGGACCCGTTCACTTTAAAACGATTGATCGGAAGCAGATTTTGAACGTTATTTCAAATTTAAACAAAGAACACAATACATAAACATATAGTTATGTTAGTTGCAAAGTGTATAATTTAGAAGGATCGTATACAATATGCCAAAACATTCGGTATAATACCGAGTAGATTTTGGCAAAGTATATAAAAAAATAAAATAAATTATTTCAATAGTACATTATTTCAATATTATACAATTTATTTTTAATTCACAAAAAATGCGTTAATTGGTACATTAAAGGCGACTGGTTTCCTAGGATGGACCATTTTATTATTTTCTAGTATTATTGCAAAAAAATGCGTTAATTGGTACATTCAAGGCGACTGGTTTCCTAGGATGGACCATTTTATTATTTTCTAGTATTATTGCAAAAAAAATGCGTTAATTGGTACATTCAGGGCGACTGGTTTCCTAGGATGAACCATTTTCTTATTTTCTAGCTCATTTTAGCTTAGCTAAAGATTTATTGAAACTATTTGTAATTATAAATGCCATCAGTCATCCGCAAAGGTCCGCAAAGTAGTTCTGATTCCACTTTTTTTGCAATTTTCCCCTTATCACGTTATATAAATGGTCCAATGTAAAAACATATGAAAGTGCTATTTGAGGCGTGATCTATACAACCTTACCCAACGTTTCAGAACGTAACTATTACGTGAAAGGATTAGGCTTGTTATATTAAGACAGATTGCTTTAAATAAACGTTATCTATTACTCATACATGATGTTTGTAAATGATGTTGGTGTTGTGGTACATTCACAGTTGATTTTCAACTACTGAAGAGTGCGTGTGGTTGAATATTTGGAGTTTGATTTGATCCTATAAACTACGATGAATACTTCATACAATATACCTCAACCAAGTACGTATTGCAAAAAAAATATATGGATCATATAATTATAAATGTACATGTAATTTTCATGATTTTGTGCAAATATATACATTTTTAATAAATAAATTAATCAAATCTTTTATATTGCTTTAAGTCATATAGAAAACAAAAACTTTCAATATTCATTAATAATTGTGTCATAATTCTATATATTTTATTACTAACTATGTCTATTAAGGGACTGAGGATAAACACGAGATGATGCAAGGATTCATGCAGAACAGAGCACCAGAAACGCCCCGCAATGAAATTAAAATGAACATGAGTAAGTATTAATGCAAATATTATTAATCTAAATGTTAATATAAATGCTATACATTCTTAAAATTATTGAAAACAATGCACAAAAGTTTAATAACTATAATTCTATTATATAAAAGCAAACAGTTGAAAAAACTGATTATTATAATGCTATTAAAGGAAACAAAAAACTTGTACGCGATCACTTCTTAACTAAAAAGTCGATCTCAAGAACGAACAAGGTAGCCATGGCTATCATAAGATCAATCAACAAAAGAAGTATCTGAAATCTTTAGATTTTAAAACCGCAAATTTATATCAAAAATTTGGAAATATTTGTAACTAATTCATTATAATTTCTAAACAAACTGAATTTTAATTGTGTAAACTAAAAATAAATTCTAAAAAAATAGTACTATGCAAGGTATTCCTGCATATTATTTTACAACGCTTCTTCAGTTTCTTATTGTATATAATTAAGTCTTTATGAAAAGTTCGTGTTTAAATTTTTCATTATTTAATGATTATTAATTGATTTTTTTTTACCTTCAAGTTAAATATTCAGAAAAACTTTGATTTATTTCCATAAGTTTATAGCGATTTTGACTATTAAATTATTAATAACAGAAATAAGTAAATTAAACAATTATTAGTTTAAGAAATATAGGAAAAGAAGTAAATAAAATTAAATGTATTTGTTACATGAAAAATGAAATATTTATTTATAACTTTTACTCAATTATTTCTTACTAATTTCAATGCTGTTGTACAAAAATCTTTTTTCTAATATATTGTTTATTTACATTTTTCAAGTATGTAAATAATATAAATATATTTTCTATTAATAATGCCATAAAAATAATAATCGTTTCTGGTTATCTAATTTTTTTATGACATATTTTACATATCTTTACACACACATATCTAAAAGAATGATTAAAGTAAATTATCTAATAATATTTCCTGTCTGTTATTTCCTATTACATATCTGCTATTATGTTTATAATTTATATTTGTTTAGTTAAATTTATATTACACATACACAGTCTCGAGGTACATTCATTTTATGTAATATGTGTGTGTTTATTTACACAATTTAGATACGCCGGGCATTGCTTCAGTCCAATTCGGACCAAAATCGCAAAGGTGCATCTGTCACAAATGTCACGCAGATATTTCGACGACCATAAAATGGAAGACCAGCAAGACAACACATTCTGCGGCCAGATGCCTGTGCATGACCTGGTGAAACAAATCATACCTCATCTCAATCAATATGAGTTTATATGTTTCGTTTCAGTTGCTTCCTGTGTGCCTGTTTACCGTACTTCATGAATAGATTCAAGCGTCGCCTGCATTATTGTCCTAACTGCGACTCCTACCTGGGCTACTATGAATAAATCACCACGATTAACGTATTTTTTTTAGACCATAAGACTCAAATTTATGGAATCGCTTTTACCTTGGAGCAATCCAAGTTTAAGTCGATTGTTCTATGCAAGGCGCACCCTTCTTATGGTCCGAAAAATACGGCACTTTTAATTGTGTAAAATACGTTCAACAATATGTTCTATTTTATTTTAGTTTTTGTCAACTGTAATGTTACCTTAATGAAAAATACAAACATATTAAATTAAAGCAATTAAAAGCAAATTATTATTTTTGTTCTTCGTTTGAGTTACTGTCGCGGGAGAGGTGTTTCGATATGTGTTGAAACAACAATAATGTATGATGGTTGTGTGTGGAAATCCTTTGAGATAGTCTTTCTTGGAGCAATTTTGTAAAATTGGGGATGTTTGGGAATGAGACATGATTGTACAGTTGGACCGAGGGGTATCAGTATGTTTGCTTTATTATTTTCATCTCAAATTGAAAGAACTTTTTCAGTAGAGGAGGAGTGAGAATACATTTTAAAGCTTTGGAGAAAGATCTTTACAGAGCAACCTCCAAATTTGGATCGGAAGTTGGTACAACTTTTGGTTGTAATGATATTACTGTTTATTGTCTTAACGTTTAGGTTGCGGTTAAGATGAATGCCTAACTTATAATTATAAAAAAGTCGTCTTATACGTAAGAAGATAGATATAATACAGAATAATATACAGGAGTTGAAACTTATTTGTCCCTTGGATTGTACGTTATCAAAATTTGGGAGTAAAAGAGATATGAGGGTCGTGTTGAGCTTCTTAATCTTAGGGTAGTGATAAAAAAGGTTACAGATTTGTATGTGTGTGTACATAGTGTAAATAGTACCTTCGATAAGGGTGTTAACTATAGTTATTGATTGTATTAGTGTAAAATAATCAGTGTGGACTAAATAGTACCTCCAATAAGAGTGTGGACAAATACAATTAATAATAATAGTTAAACAATGAATGATGATAGAATGGTTGGTCTCAACAAATTATTATTGCTTTGCTAAAAAGCAGTATTTAGTACGTTAAAAGTCATACAGTATTTGAAAATGTTAATGTAACGAGATTATCATTATCATACATTAAGTGCGCAATAACAGAGTTTGTATGTATGGGTGTGCCAACGTGCACTACCTCAAGCTCTGTTGATCTGCAACTGCCAACGTGTTCGTATTTCATTCATTCATCTGAACTACGATGAGCACTTCGTACAACAATATATCTGAATCAAGTACGTATTGAAAATATTTATAATTCATCTTCAACGTTAATTATAAATTTTCATTTCATTTTCAAGAAATGAAACATTTTAATAAATAATCTAATATCAATCTGTTTTACTTACATATTGTTAGTAACATCGTTAGACAAAAAGTTTACATTTAATAATATACAAATATGTATGCTATAGTTCTCTATATTTCATTACTAATTATATCGATCTTAAGGGAGCGAGGATCAACTCGAGATGATGCAAAAGTTCAAGTTCAATAGGCCACCAGAAAAGCCCAGCAAGGAAATTAACATGAAAATGAGTACGTATGAGTAAATATGTAATCTTTCATTTAAAAACTGTGATTACTTTTAATAAAGTGGATGTAGTTATATAAAAATAATAATATACTGCATACAATATCAAAATAATCTTTTCATATTTTAAATATTTTAATATCAATATAATTTTATAAAACGCGACGATTGCGAACGATCAGGTAGAACGTTGTTACATTTTTAATAGAAAAAATGATTGTGATAAATAGTCGATTTCAATAACGAACAAGATAGCTTTGTCTGCTATAAACTATCAACAAATGCACTATATGTAATCTTGTCATAAATGGATTTGAAACAGTAAATCTCTTTGTTGCCAATATAAAATGAAATAATGCAACATTTCTTACAATTAAATAGCTGAATACAATTTTAATTTATTTCTAATAGTATTGTCCAAAAAATACACTTGTTAATTAAGCACACCAGAAATACATATTTTTTTGAAATATTAGTATATTTTTGTGCGGTTTATGTTTGTATATATTTAGTTCCTCGATTAGTACGTTTTCAAAAGCAGTACATAAAAACTATAATCGGGACTATTACTGCTAAATTCAATGTGTACAGACTAGCTTCATTCATAGTTCCTCGATTAGTCCGATTTCAAACAGTTCCGGGATACTTGCAAAACCGAATGCTCTGACTATGCGAGGTATTGCTGTATATTATTTTATAACATTCAATGTGTCTGCATAGGTTTCAACAGAACACAAATATTTTTTTGTATATCGTTTTTTTTTTCTTTCTATATATAATCAAGTCTCTTTTTATGCGGTTTATTTAGTTATATATTCTTCGATTAGTCCGATTTCAAACTGTTCGGAACAAATTACGCGTACTATACGAAAAATTCTTCTTTGGTTACTAATTTTGTGTTGTATTAATTTTTAAGGTAGTTATTTTTAATAATTTCCGTTAATGATTATTGATTAATAATAAATAATATTTCTACAAAAAAAACAATTTCAGTGTTTTTTTTTTTTAATTTAGCTTTTATTTTAGTGTTAACAATAGATATTGAATGATATAGAGCACTATACTATAGTTATTTATTGTATTGGTGTTGAATAATCAGAGTGCACTAAATAGTACTTCCAATCAGAGTGTGGACAAATACAATTAATAATCATAGTTAAACAATGAATGATGATAGAACGGTTGGTCACAACAAATTATTATTATTGATTTGCTAAAAAAGCAGTATTTAGTACGTTACAAGTCATATAGTATTTAAAAATTTTAAAGTAACGAGATTATTATTATCATACGTCAAGTGCGCAATAACAGAGTTTGTATGTATGGGTCTGCCTACGTGCACTTAGTTTTAACAATAGATATTGAATGATATAGAGCATGGATGGCCAAATAATCTCTGATGATTTATTTTAAATTTAAACTAAATTTTGGCTAAAAAAACAGGTTACGGATGATCAAGTTTAGCCCCTGATATGGAGAATGTTGTCATCTAACATTATAGAATTGTGTAAAATACGTTCAACAATTTGAGTATTTTTTTTAAATTTTAGCTTCGAATTTGTAAAAAATCTTTGTTTTTTTGAAATTATTAAAGTTGATGATAATTTAAATCTTCTCGATATTTTTTTAGAGAAAAAGAAAATAAGTTTATTGACTATTTCATAAATATTGTGGAGTAAAGCATCTCGAGAATTATGAAGAAAGTAATAATAAAATGCAAAGAAAATATACATATTGTATATATTTTTAGGCGCATTAACGATATTATCGGATGAAAGCTTACTAAGCTTATTATCTTAAATAAATATAAGTGAGAGTTCCATGTAGTTAAAGTGACGTGTGAAAAACGGATGTGTATGCAAAAAATATCCATTTGTATAAACATCAACAGAAATTAAAGAAAGCATTATATTTCTAGAGAAAAAGAAGTTTATATTTAAAAACACGTGCGCAGCATATTTTACATAAGAAGTCGTATAAAATAAAGTTAAATAGCTTTGAATATGTGAAATTCATCATCTAAAACTTTAACAATTAACAAGAAATTAAACATTATACTAATGTTTCATCTGAAACAAATTCGTTCGCTCCAAAATTTCTATTTTTTTAACATTAACAATTACAAAAAGTGTTTTTTACTTGTCTCATCGTAATAGATTCAAATGTAAAAAAAACTACACAATTTTTATGTTTCAATAAAATAAAAATCTTTCACTTTAACAAAATCTGTTAAATCTCATTTAAAATGTTTAATGTCCATATTTTATTATGCAATTATTAATAATAGATAAAGGGAATCAAGTGAAAGACATTAATATAATCAAATACATTTGTTCACAGTATTATTGTTGTCTGAATTTTTATCCAAGATTATTTTTTTTAATTTATTAATAAAGCAATCTATCTTTATGATAACAAGCTTTAAAAATGGGTTAATAAGAGAAATAAAAAGACTTTTAAATGGATATAATGTCGTGTCCCAGGGATGGGAGTCTCAGTTTTAGGAAGTAAATAATTCAATTGGTGATAAACAAGATTATTATAATAATTGGTACTCTTGGGATTCTTTCTAAGATAATGTAGATACTTTAACAGTTTGACTAAGACTATACATGTCCTCAAAGGTTCTGCTGAGACTTTATTCTAAATACTTATTCTACTTACAAAGTTAATTCTTATTAATACGGGGTGAGAGTTGTGATTGGGAGTAGGGCTTTGTATATATTGATGATTAAACGTTTCCACGGGAATCGTCCTCGACAAAACCACCATGTTTATTATAAGACTGGGACAAAATCATATTCATTTGTTCATATGAAAAAGATAATCGATTATGATTGTACGTGTAAAGATTATTATGTGTTTATAAATGGACTTAAGTGTAGTACAGATATAGGAGTGTTGATGGGATTGTTTACGCTTGGTTCTCTTGATTCTATTAAGCATATATATATGTTTATATAATAAGGCAACTAAGAGACATCTCTAGTTCGTTAATACACTATATTAACAATAATAATTGTAATAATAACTGTTGGACACAAAAATAATGAGATGATCCAGCTACCTCACTTCACATATATAATAAATATTTATGATTATTCAAAAGAAAAATATGTAGTTTATAATTTTCATACAATTTTTTTTTTTAATTTTCATGTGTGTATAATAGATAAACAAGATTAATCCTCTCAGAAAGTTTTCGTTGTCTCTAATTCTGTCGTGTCCCAGGGATGGAATTTTGGACACAGTGGAATATTGTCTGATGTTATCGTTGTAGAGTCTCAGTAGTTGAGAATTAAATAATTCAATTGGTTTAAAACAAGTTTAATATAATTGGTACTCTTGGGGTCCCTTTCCAATGTAGTTACTTCGATAGGTTGACTAAGACTATATCAGTCTTTGAAGGTTTTACTAATTCTAAATAGTTATTCTACTTACAAAGTTAATTCTTATTAATACGGGGTGGGAGTTGTGATCGATTGATGGTTTTGTTTATTATAAGACCGGGACAAATTTCTATGCATTTGTTTATATAAAAGATGATCGATTACGATTGTACATGTAACGATCTTTATATGTTTATAATAAGGACTTGAATTCGGAGTAAAAGTATAGGAGTATCGATGAGAATGTGCCCTTTGTTTATATTAAAGTGTATCGAACTGGGTCACGATAGAGATTCCTTTATGCTGATGTTTATGTTTATATAATAATGCGACTAAAAGACGCCTTTGATGTCTCTAGTTCGTTTCTATTATAAAGTACACTATCTAATACACTTAACGTCTCACATTCATATTTCTTATTTGTAGTTCGTATTACACGTACGATTATAGACTTAAGATACTTTAAATCATCGGTTTTCAACCTGGGAGAACTATTGCCAGAGAAGGCGCCAAAATTTTTTAATAAATTATTTTTTATACCATAATATCTTCAAATAAATAAAACGTGTCTATATTATTTAATCTATTAAAATAATAAAAGGTAATGGAGGCGCGAATATTTTTTTTTGGGGGAGGCGTAGTAGCATAAAGGTTGGAAACCGCTGGATTAAAACGTTCTTGGATTGATACGAATAAGATGTGCATTATGCGCAACAGTTTTCACGCAGAAACGCCAACCTTGACTCAGTTCATTGCATTGCAAGAGTGACCGGCGTCGACGAAACTCTTCAGGCTCAGAAATAGTTTCGTTTCGCAGACAACATGCAGGACGAGGTACCATTCATTAGGCTGGAAAATACCAGTAAGTTTGGTTTTTGACAAATATCCACTTAAATAATTTAAAAAATCAACCTTTTTTATTTACATGAAAAATTTCAAAATATATTAATACACTAATTAACATAATAATGATATTTTGTAAATGCTGTACAACTGACAATCATATTGTGTGAAATTATCTGCTAATCATACTTATCTAAGGAAATCTAAATTAAACATTCTTCAAATCTCTCCCAAAAACTTAACGTACTTTTTCGGATTTTGTGTACAATTTAAGATGCAATATTTTAATAATACATATCAACAATTAACATGATTTTGTAATAATAGATTTAAATAATGGTTGGATATCAACAGAGAAATTCTTTGCAGATAAAATATCTAATATTCATAATGCAAACCAAGTCATGTTCTTGTTGTTTTTTTATTGCATTTTTTCTTCAGAATAGTCGTAAATTGAAGGAACAATTGAAATAAATTGGTGGCAACTCAGTTGAATAATCGTTAATGGTTTTTTTTCTTCGTCTATTAAAAATGTCCCATAATAAAATACAAATCACAAATATATCACTCTATTCGTCATACTGTGTAATAGTTTAGGTTTAGCTAATATCCCGGACTATTTGAAACAGGAACAATCGGAGATTTTAAAACCGCTTAGAAATAAACTACACAAGTAGAAGAACAAACGAAAAAATAATATTTTTATGTAATATTTTTGTTAGAATTTATTTTTATTTTGCTCGATTAATCCGGACTAAGCGAGGTGTTCTACAATGTACTCAATTTAATGTTTTATAGTGAATTTCCTAATCTATTATCTACATTTTTTTACTATAACTATCTGAAGTAATCATGAAATAATTAGAATATCAACAGACTTTATAATTTAAGACACTGATGATCTCATTCTTTTTGACCATTAATTCTCATTACTAATAAATAGATTTTTATGTGCGAAAGTTTAAACAAAATTAATATGTTTTTTTATCTTTTAAAAAATCCCTATAATATGCAAATCATATATATTTCATTATATTCATCATACTTTATAATGCTTTAATTACATAAATATATTGCATAGTCCGGTTTAGCCAATATGCCGGACTATTTGAAACAGGAAAAATCAAAGTTTTTAAAACCGCATAAAAATAAAATACATAAATAGAAAAAGAAACTAAAAATAACAATTGTTCGAATTTATTTTTATTTTGCTCAATTAATTCGGACTAAGCGAGGTATTCCAGTATTTCTACTATGTATTCTTTTTAATGCTTTACGAAATGTCCTCCAAATAATTAGAATATCAACAGTTTTGAATTTAAAATACTAATGATCTCATTTTGAGTGTGTATACAATGTCGAAGTGGGTTATATTTACACGTCTTTGTTGTAAACAAGAATCCACTGCAAGTAATTTAATTCAGCGAACATTGATGAATAATTTCTGAATATACTGATGGAAATTTTATTAAAAAAAAGCATATCTTTACTTCTTTTAGAAATGTATCCTTAATATCAGTATTGAATTCCTTAAAACTAGAGGTACAAATAGATCTTCAGTTGAAATATTATCAGATGCAATTTCTTGTGTAATTTACGACGGTTCATTGAGAAATAATGCTTTCCTAAGCACAGAAAATTTCGATGTTTTATTTTAAACTTGAGAAAATATACAGGAGCAGTACTACTTCTGTAAATGTAATCTATAAAGTGTGATTTGATAATGAATTCGAATTGCAAAATTAATCCGAAGTGTCGCTGAAATATTATTATTATCAGAATCAATTTCTTGGGTAGTTTTGTTAAGAATATGAGTAATGAAAAATCAGTTCGAAACTCCTTAACTCTTTGAAGGGCCAGAAATTCCTAAATTTCTAGACCTAACAAATTTCTAGGCAACTGAATCAGACAGTTCTACGTCAACTGAATTCACATCGAATGGTATGGCTTATCAAGATCATCCTTTGACATACCAACCATATTAAAGGATAATTCCTCTTTCCTGGAGAATGATTATAATGTCTCACTTGACATGTTTAAAAGGTGGGACATTGTCCCTCAAAGAGTTAAACGAGTACGTTTGGTCACCTGAAATCTGTATTCAAATCAAAAACATCATTCTGTAATGTCTGTTTTTTTGTTTACAATTTAGATACGCCGAGGGTATTACCAAGTATTCCTCCAGTCCAATTCGGGCCAGATCCTCAGAGATGCATCTGCCACTCGTGCCATGCAGATATTTCGACGACCGTTAAATCGAAGACCAACTTGAAAACTCATTTTATGGCCATGTGCATGTGCTTAACCTGGTGAGTCTAATCATCCCTCATCTCAGCCTCATATTTTTTTTAAATATAAATATGTATCTACATTTTTCTTTTCAGTTGCTTTCTGTGCGCTTGGTTACCGTACTGCATGAAAAGTTGCAGGAATCGCAACCACTTCTGTCCTTCCTGCGATTCCTACCTTGGAAAATACGAATGAAGCCACCAACATTACTTTTTAATTTCTTTCAAATGCTTTTAATCTTATCGCATTATTATTTTTATATATTTTTTAACGTTATTTCGTATTGTTTTTAGTTTTAACTAGACATATATAGGCAGCGTTTCTCAAGCTCTATGTTTCGCGAAATGACAGCTGTCACTTTGCGTCAATATGTTATAAGCATTTAGGTTGAGAAACGCTGATATAAAGAATGTAAACATTTAAAATGAACTTTCTACATTCAACAGCATGTTCTAAATCTTAAAACAAAAAAAGTGATAAACTTAAATTTTTAGTTACCGAATATGTATTTTTTATGTTTAATAAATAAACAATAAAATTTTCTTATTTTACAATATTAGTTTACTTTCTATCAACATTAGTTCTCAAATTCAATATTGTTGGATATTGAAGTGTTTCTTCACTTTTAAAGACAATTGCGAATCCAAAACACAAATACAGCAATACTTCAAATAGTGCGATCAGTGCACCTAAACATTTCGTAAATCCTGAAATTTTCAGAGAATACCTTATTTTATGTGTAGGTAAGAACACATAATCAATAAATTAAAAAAAAATCAGAAAAAACATTCTATATTTATTTATTAATTATTTTATACTAACTTTCGCCGAACAACAGCGTTCGAGTCTCTTTTTTACTCTTTTAAAATCCTCGAATAATCCGGTTTTAAACAGAACCGAAAACCCAAATAAGAATATTAATAATATACATTAGATTATTAATTTATATAATCTAAATATACGATTTTTTTTTAATATTCCAATCAAGAATTACAACATTAAGAATCTTTATATTTACTTAATTGGAAACACAAAGTAATACATTGAGAAGAGTCAATGTTCCGACTATTAAAGTAAAAGACATAAACTATTCAAATTTTTGATTTGGCATAAACAAATATTACTACTTCCGTTAATATATTATGTTAATTTCTATTAATTATTGATTAATTTATCTGGTAATGAAATTAAACTTAAATTTTAAAATAAATACATTTTTTGTCTGTAATATTAAGAAGATAAAACTTTTCGACTGAAAGAACTAATAAAGATTAATAAATAAATAAAATAACTTGAGCAAAAGCTGTTCATGGAAACACTGATAAAGTTACTGTTTGAGGTCTCTAGTTCTAGTTAAGTGTGCTGGATCTCAGCAGGGCAATTTATTTCCTAATTTATATAACAGCATGATTTACAGTCGCCTGTCAGGTATTACCTTGACGATAATTTACCGGAATTACGTGATTACAATTAAAAAAAGGCTATTTGTATTCTTTCTGTTTGTCCTTTCTCTATCTCTCTCTCTCTTTTTTTTGTATTTTTGTTTGCAAGTCGATGTAGCATAATTTAATTATTCCCGATGGAAAATTATGATTAATGATGGTTTCCATCTTTCTCTTCTCTGTTTTTTTGTTGTAGTTCTTTGTGCCCTTGGTCGGTGAGAAGGGTTCTGGAAAAGCATTAATTAGAAGAGATGACCGAAACTGGTTAATGAATATCAATCCGAAAGTTTCTGCTGTCGGTTTTTGTGTGTGTGTGTGTAGATATATATATAGGTCTATATCTCTCGTGTTTCGGTGCTACGGCCTCTAAGTCGGAAGTGCTCGCAGGAAATTAATAAATAGGGGGATAGGAAGGAACGTCGCCGTCGGGGGTCTCGGAGAAGGCGCGCTCCGGTGATGATTAACGACGCGCCCCAAAACTTTGAGGCTTTTCGAAGGGCTGAAGAAGAAGCATAAGAAGGAAAAGACGTCGACGGAGACGATGAAATAGAAGAAGAAGCGAAAAAACGGAGATATATATGTTTGCAGTATAGGAAGAAGCATGCGCGTCGCGTTTCCAGCAGATGACGAAGACCCAAGGACATATTAAATCAACCAGGATTCGCACTTATCTATATTTATAACCGTAAAAGATCAACTAGTTTTAAGTTTTTATTTATATAGTTATTATGTAGAAAATAGTAGAATGCAATACTATAATACTATATAATAAATAATACTATACTTAAATTCCGTTCCAAAATAAGTGTCCAATTTCATAAAAAAAATATACATAGGGATATATTTTCAAAACTAAACTATAACATAAAATGGTAAAAAATTGACAATGAACACTAATTAGTAACTGTCACCAAATTAGTAACTATAAACGGTCACGTTTTTGACGAGCTAACAATGTTCCCTGAAAACGCAGTTTGTCCTTACTCATGTAAGGAAGCTTGTAATCATTGCCTACTTTATGAAGCATGGACAATTCCATACACTTCTGCAATATAATGAAAACATTGTCTAGTGTTTCCGAAATTATTTCATACCATGCTTTATACAGGGCCGCAATAAGTTCATCAATATTAGACGAGAACTGTTTGTGTTGTAATGATTGAATGGCGTGAAAGAAACCCAAATAGTGGACATTGAAGTCGGGGTTGTTTGGTGGTTGACATATTATTCTTATGTTCCACCCATTTTCAAAACCAGCGCGAACAACTTCTTTGTCATCAACACTGCAATGTGGTTTAGCATTATCTTGGTAGATTTCGATTGACATGATTCTTCTACCACTAGACCATTTTTCTTTTATAGCGGGAATTAATTCCTTTGCAATTATTCGAATATAGACTTTTATTGGGTATTTTTTATGATGACGATCAAAATAATATTTCTTAAATAAATTGTCAGCTGGACAAATGTCAAACTTCAGGTGGATACTAGATTCACTTTTTCTATGCTTAATTTAAATAAATAATCAATTTTTGTTTAATTTTCAGAATTAAAAAATCAGTTAATACTAGATTTTTTCAAATTTTACGTAATATTATTACGTTTCTTTATACGGTAGTATTTTAACACATATTCTTCACTGATTCATTGTAGAGAGAATTTTAATTGTATTCTCTCTAATTTCAAAGTTTGAAATAAATAAGGCCATCAACATTTGACAAGTTAATCATAAATGCTAGGTATTAGGTTTAAATATATGCCTTTTTCGCTCATGCTGCTTAAAAAACACAATTATTATAATATGCAGAAGTCAGTATTTTCTGCGTATTTCTCTTTCTATAAATATATATATTTTTTGGGTGCTTTATTTACGACATCAAGCAGCAAAGAAAATGCATTTTGATATGAAAATGAGCATTGGAAGCTCTCTGTGCCAGCTAGAGCTTTAGTCCTGAACCCCCTAATCCAGATGTTTCAGCATCATTTAACACTCTCTTTTCGTTTCCTCTGCAGACTCGGCGCTATAAATTCCATCGACCATACTTAGTCTTGGCACTTAACATTCCGCAAGCTTTCGTTTAATGCGCATCCTGCACACACAGACACACACGTTACGAATGGGAATCTTCACATCACTCACCCACTTACGAATATAAATAATGTATAATAACACATAAACGTATGGAAACAACAATTATTGATTACTTATCAAATATGGTGAAAAAGAAATGGAAATTATTACTTAATTATTAATCAATATTTATATCTACTCAAGCAATACTAAATAAATGCATCAATAATAAACACGATTCTTTTTCCAGCAATATCTCGTATAGTGCGGATAATCGGTTTCGCCAATATCTCGTACTGTTTGAAACAGAACTAATCAAGGAACTAAATATATACAAAAACCGCTTAAATAGACTTTAGTTTATTAGAAAACTTAGTTTATTTTGAAATTTTCAAACTGGACTAATCGAAGCCATACTATAACTCGCTTGCTATATAAAATCCTAATAACAATTATTTATTATTTTTATTTCAAAAGAATAAATATTCCATTGCGTCCATCTTATATTATTGTAGTTGCAACAAAGTCTCAAAAATATGAAGAAATGCATACAATTTAATAAAGCAGACGATGAAGACACTACGATTATGTCTTTTACATGAAATTTGTTGTTTTTTTCTGTTGTTGTTTCGTACGTCGAGATGTTTATATTATGCTCACCCGAATCACCAAACTACGAGATAACCCATTCCGTTCTATTTGCCGAAATACATGCTATGTGCTTTTATTAAACCTCCAGAAGATTCAACAAGTGTTCAGCTATATTTTATCGTTAAATGAAGCACAACAAAAAGTGGATAATGTATACATTTACATCTTCTTTTCCATTTATTTACCCATAATACTGAACTTGTCCTTTTTTTGATACCAGTAAACTGTATGCTAAGTATAATACTAAATAGTTTTATTTTTGTTTTCTTCTTATCATTGTAGCAGTGCCGAGGACATATCAAAATTTAAAAAAAAAAATCAGAATGTCATTCGGTTTTCTCGATTTTATATAAGAAAATTTTCCCAAAGATTATCTTTTTCAGCACGTGCACGATCATTTTTTTTTACAAATATTTACGATTAGAAACATTTTCAAAAACTGTGATTGCTATTTCACTCAAATTTTTTGAGCATTTTCTGATATTCCATAATAATGATAACAAATAATTTTACGAAATCTTTTTTTAGAAATAGAAAATACGTTTTTGTAATCATTAACAAAAGTATTAAGTTATATTATTTTTACATTTTGTATTGTTGATAGATCATATTTTCAAACTAATAACAAAAATGAGAATACAATTTCTGATTCTATTTTATTCAAATTAATTCTATATAATCAATTCAATTTGTATTTTATTAATCAATTGTTAATTCAGTATTCACTTTGATATTATAGTTTATATATAATGCAACTACTTTTATATTTATTCATGTGGCTTCTGAAATAGGTCAGGATATAAATATTAAATAAGCTTAAAGAGGTATATAAAATATTTCTGCTTCATTTTTTTTTTGTAATTTTTACAGAATATTCATCGATTTTGCGTATTGTAGGATTTCTTTTGTACGAGATGTTGAAAATTTATTAGAAATAATTTAACGAGATTGTCGCAGCGGTGCGGATTGGACATTAATGTAGAGTAAAAGAGATTACATCTAATATATATGATTGCAGGCAATAAAGATTCGCCGGTGACGAGATTGATTATCGCTGCCGGAAGCTATAATATCTTCTTTTATTTTCTTCTTCTTTTTATTTTGTTTGAAGTGGCCGTGGAATCTTATTAGGGCTCCGGTAGTTTTCTCGGGCGATTGAGGATTTTTACGGCTTTTAAGTTATTTATTTGGTGGGGTCAAGCGGCCCCTAATAAACCTATCATAGTGGAATTGGAGGCGACGTTCGGCCGTTCCAATGGTAGCAGTAATAGGGTGGATATCCCGAACCACCTGAAAGCCGACAAATTGCCATTATTGTCCTTGAAGGGCCC